AAAAATTACACATATGATAATGTGAGAGATGTACCTTAATTTTTCGGTCCCACCAATCATCATCTGCCATAATCGTATTTTTCGTGGCATCACATCCTAACCCCGTCTCCCCTCTCATCAACTGCTTAAAAAGTGTCCATTCTCCTTTCATGTAATCCCAATGATTTTTTCATTTTTTTTATCATAGTCTTTTCCCGTCTTCTTACAGAACTCGTCAACAAGACTTTTCCACCCATCTTTATTTAAGTAAGTGTTTGGTCTATTTCCTTTTCTAACCTCTTGCTCACACAACTCAATAAATATAATATGTGTATCATCGTCCCACTTAGCATTGTCCTGCATAACTGAATGTAAATAATCTGAAGAAAGCAGAGCAACCAAGAAGCTAAGACTGAAATTGCATAATAGTAATACCAGTACTTTTGTATGTTAACTCAGATCAAGCATTAGGAATATTGCATAATGAATAAGTTGGTTTATGTAACTAAGAATGTGTTCTGTACCATCTGGAAGTTAAGTTTTTGTTGTAATTGTTTATACAAAGTAAATCAAATCTCTGTACTAAAGTAGTCTTAGAGGGTATTGTTTCCACTTTTCTGCTGAAGTTACTAAATAATATGGAACCCATAAAAAATAGGTAATCAGAAATGCTTAATACAGACTCTCTCCTATGCCAACACACAACAAATTCTAAAAATATCTAAACTTTACCACCATCATATGCAGCAATATATCCAAAGCAAGTATTAACAATACCAGCAGTAACAAAGAAAAACGAGGCAGTGATGATTTGGTCAAGAATATTAGTGCAAGCACCCCATCTTTTGAGTTTTGACCAGCCTAAGGGTTTCCTGTACTAGATTAAACTCAACAGTGAAAGATAGAAGAAGGATAGAGATTGAATTTGAAACATGGTCAATTGATGTTGAATAGTAAAATGTAATGCTGATCGGTATACTAATACATGTAGTATCTTTAATTATTGCAGCTTCAAGTGTAATATTGTTTTAAAATTAGGACTTGTAATTATATATTCTTGTCAGCATGAAGTATGAAACGTTGAATTTAGGAGCTGAAATATTTGTTGTGAAGCTTTATAAAGTCACACGGGTAGGCACCGAACTATATTGGCTCCATTTGTTATTGACAATTTGGACATATTATCAAGAAATCTCCAAGTATTTGTGAAGTCTAAACACTAGTTTTGTCATTTAAAACTCCAAAATATATCCAAACCATACAAAATACCATCTTAGCATTTCAAATTGAGTACTACTATTTTTTGCATCTAACTGATAATCCAATCTTCTGTAGGTGATGACTCCATTGGAGGCGAATATACAGGAAGAAGAAGGGGGCGTGATTGAAGCTGATAGGTGATGACTACTGTGAGATGTGAATACTGCTCGACGACATGTATAATCAAATCAGTAAAAAATTTCAATTCAAACAAAAATATACAATAAGGATCGAGAAGAACTTACAGCGATAATTGATTTCCACTGAATTGCTTGAAGAAAAGCGCAGAATAATTAAATATGAAGCAGAGATCGATGAAGATGAAAGGAGACGGCAGTCTTCAAAGTGAAGAAAATAGGAGAAATACAATGTTTTAGGGTTTCTTTGACTGAGGGTAATTTTGGTATTATAAAAACTTATAAGGGACAAGAGAGTAATTTTTTTGGTCAAACCAAAATGGCTTTTAAGCCAAAATTTAAAAAGTTGGGGTCAGCCAACTTGTTGCTTTTAGCTTTTTTTAAGCACTTTTTAAGCACTATATTAGAAAGAAATGCAATATGGATGATGCATTTCGAGCAACTGAGAATGAGAGATATGTTCCATCTGTTGATCCTGATGTTGGTGCATCTTTGAGAGCTAATAACAATATAAATGCGGAAAATGTGGAAGAGCAAAGTGATATTATTTGGATGGGTCTTCGCGATTTGATTGCTAATGAAATTTGTGAAGCTTGATACTTGTAGTTATATGAATCTTTTAAAATACTAATATTTATTATTTTACACCAATTGATAAATATTATTTTGTACTAATTGCAGGTTGACTTTAACAGACTATCGAAAATTTAAAACAGTTTGTTCAATTTTTTGGATAAGCAAACTACATAGCTGTTTTGAGGCAGAGTGAGAGGTGGGTTAGCTGTTAGTATGAACATCAACTTTCTATCTGCAATATACGAACTATTTTATTTAACAAATAAATAAATAGAGATTGAAATGTCAACAATAGAAGATAAATCAACATATAGGTATTGCAAAGAGTGTGAATTTTACCTTGTTTTGAGGCAGAGTGAGAGGTGGGTTCAGCAGAGAAGCCATCGAAGAACGAAAATTTCAACTTTGGCGATCTATGGGTATTTAGTGAGAGTCGTTAGTTTTATATTTCTGGGTTTTATTTGGCTAACGGAAAAAGACCAATTGATCAATTAGATTCTCATACAGATATATACAAAGCAAAAACTATTCTTTTTATTTTCTTGACAAACAAATAAAAAAACTATCTTAAGTAATTATTTAAATTAAAATTAAATTAAAATATAAATTATTTTTTGTTTGCATTACTTATGAATCAAATATATTGTAGTAATCAGCTCCTTTTATAATGTTAACAGCTTTAAGGATATTTCTGTCTTTTTAACAGAAAAAAGTTCTTACCAGCACTTGTTTACCAAACACTTCAACAGCTTTTTTTAAGCTTCAGCACTTTTATCCAAACAGGTAACTGCTTATTTATAAAACAAGTTTCAGCACTTAAAAGCTGCTTTTAAGCACAAGTGCTTAAAAGCTACTTTTTTCCAGCTAATCC